CCATGCACACAGCCTGCATTATCGGTAGTAAAACATTATGGCCACATAGGCAGGCAAAATTAACAATCGTAGGCAAGTGAAAAATACTACATTCATGTACATACATAGATGTGACAGATGACATTTATACATGTGTATGTGCTACAGATATATCCATATGTAATGGAACTAACAGGGAACAAATTTATGTAAGCTTCTTAGCCATAATCAAACACCCTGCGAGAATGAGGCCATGGGGTGCAGGACCATGGACCAGGGGACATCAAGGTCATTGTACTTAACATAGCCCACAAAACAATGCTCTGTATTCTGCTTTGGTGGGTGTTATTTGGAGTCTTAGAAGCTTGCAAGGATATACCAAAGGTGTAGCTATTTGTTTCAAAGAAGAGAGAAGAAAATACAAGACATCTAGAAAACATTGGTCCGAATTACTGAGGAACCTCTGGAACCTCGACTTCCACAGCCCTGGAACCAGAAGAACTAGGTTGTTGCTCTGGAACCAGAAGAACTAGGTTGTTGCTCTGGAACCAGAAGAACTAGGTTGTTCCCAACGACCCCTGCTTCCTGCCATGAATTGGATGGCAATGGAGAGTCCAAGACAGTTGGGAGAATGTGGGACAAACCGCCAATCAGAAAAATGACCACGCATGGTGCCATGTCCTGAGGCATAGATGCTTTTGAACTTGGCTTGCACAATGAAATCAGGAAGTTCATATAAGTTATTTCCTAGTTTGTTTCCTCCTAAGAAAGGGCATGTTGTATGGGCAGACCCTTGCATGTCTGTATCAGTGGTGACTGCTGACTGGTTGAAAATGAGAAGCAAGACTATTCATCTGACCAGTTTTCTCTTGAAGTCATTTTCATCATGATGATGGCGAGACTCGATTGTTTGTTTGTCAATTTCAGACATTCCTAAGGAATAAAAATGTGAAAATTTTACTGATTTCATAGAGACTGGTGGAGACCCACCCTCCACCCCTGAAATGTGTCCTTTGGCATCCTTTGAGCCTGGAACTTAACATTGCTACCCAGCTTTCAGCCAAGTAATTGATAGACCTATAAAGTCAACAGGAAGACTAGAAGGTACTCAAATACAGTAAGCAATGTAAAATTGAAAGGACATCATTTGCCTATAAAGCTCAGAAAGCAAGAAAAGAGAGAGGGATAAATGGAGGAAAATTATTATGGGGGAAGTAGGAAGGGTGCTGTTACATTTCTAGGACTTGTACTCAGTGTCGTAAAATGAAATATGAATGAATGGTTGAATAGAAAACCAGTTTGCTCTATAAACTTTCACCAATCACAATAAAAAGATTCAAGAAGAAAGGGGGGAAAGCAGCAGCCTGGATAACTCTGTGGGGCTGTTTTGACAAGCTCGCTTTGAGCAGGAATCAACTCCGTGGCCATAATCATGGTCTCTTAATAGCACTCGCTCTGCATGCCATCTGTGTATCAGTACCTGGCATTTCATTTGTGTGTGTTCACCATTTCCCCCTTGTTGGTCTAGAATGTCAGCTCCATGAGTGAGTGCACTTCATCACTGTTCATTTCAGAAGTGCCGCTTGATCACTGCTTGTCTCTCAGAGCGTCTTGATGAATGCTCTTTCAGGAAGCTCTTTCACACCCTGCAGGTGTGACCTGACCCATGGGATGTGCGATGGGATTCCTTCCTTTAACCTCAGCCAGGGTGAGAGCTCTCAGGGTGGCGTCCTGCTAACTAACCAGCTGTTGGTGCACTAAAAAGGCAACTAAAGGCAGTCTCAGTTCCTGTGAGCCCGTCCAGTGGCCAGAGCTGACGTTAGCCCAGTCCTGGGAGCTTTTCAAAACTTGCCAGTAAGCCCACAAGTGTACTTCTTGGTTCCTATTCTTCCTCTCTGTTTTCAGTCAGATTCTTTTTCTCTCTTGAGAGAACGTACTGTTCTCCCACCCCATTTCCTCTTTAGTGGCCTCCTTTCCTTCATTTGTACCAACAATGATAGATTTCTGGAGAACCAAGTCCCTTACCACAAAGCTGACTCTGGTTCCTGATATCCCTGTGGGCTGCAGAGCAGGACGGCTCCGTGGGGTTCCCTGCCTGGAACCCTTACGGAAGCAGCAGATTGCCTGGCCTTTATTCTCTGGTGCCACAAAGTGGATATGAACTTCCAACCTTTAAGTTAGAATTCCAGAGCAAACTAATGTTTGGACCCAGGGGCCTTAATAGATTCTTAACGTAACCTAAATTTATTGAGGCTCTATCCCCAGCTTCAGGCTTACCTTAAGATGACAGCACAAAAAGACTGTAAAGGGGGGGGAGGGGGAAGTCCTTGTCAAAACACATTTGGTGAAATCTGTGTTTATAGTGAATATTGCCACTATGATCAGAAAACTCACAGGGTGCCGATTAAAACAACACAATTTTTTTTCTTTTTAGTTTAGAGTTTGTATTTTCTTATTTTAATTTTTTTTTTCTGCTTCTAGTTTTCCTCTCCCTCCCTTCCTCTGGCCCTATGGGGAGGCATGTTGTTGTTGTTGATTGTCTTTGAGTCAAGCATGACTCTTAGAGACCATATGAACAAAAGGCTTGAGGCCCCTGGACAACTACCAACAATTATCGAAGTTCACTGAGTTTCCAGAGGCATGTTGTTTAAGAAGTGGATGTCACTCCTGCTCCCAATCCTGTCATAGTATGTTATTGTTATGTGCCATTGAGTTGCCTGAGATGCATAGTGACTCAATGTACAGCACCTCTGAACCCTTCCCTGTCCTGAGCCAGTCTCACTAACTCCAACACACCAACCCCCATTGCCCCAGTTACTGTATCAATCCATTCATCTGGGGTCTTCCTCTCCTGAGCTGTCCCCCCACCCTTCCAAGCATTATGTCCTTCTCCAAGGACCAATCTCTCCTGGCCACCTGCCCAAAGTAAGTGAGGCAGAGATTCAAAATCCTAGCCTCCAAGGAGAAACTTGGTTTCACCCTCTCCAACACAGACCTATTTGTTTTCTTGGCAGTCCATGGTATGTTCAATACTCTTCTCCAGCACCATAATTGAAGGCACCTATTCTTCTGTCATCCTTAGTAATTGTCCAACTTTCTGAAGCATAACAAGTAATTGAGAAGACCATGCCTGGATTAGGCACAACTTTGTATCTAGACTAATATCATTGCTCTTCAGCACTCTGGATAGATCTATGACAGCAGATTTTCTCAGTGCAATTCTTTTTCAATTTCCTGACTGCTTGTTTTGAGAGTGTTCCAAGCAAGCTGTAAATGCTAACAACCTCAATTTCTTCTCCATCTATCCTGGTGCTGCCAGTTAGCTCAGTGGTGAGAATCTTTGTCTTCTTGATGTTGAGCTTCAATCCATATTGAAGACTACAGTCCTTGACCTTTTGCAGCAACACTCCTCCTCATAAAGCCCTGCCTCTGGAATGATCTGTTCTGCATACAGATTGAAAAGGTATGGGGACAGGATGCATCCCTGACACATTCCTTTCCTAATTTTGAACCATGCAGTGTTCCTTGATCTGTTCTGAGGACTGCTTTTCCATCCAACTATAGGTTTCATATAAACACGATCAAGGCATACGCATAGAGTTTTTGGAAAAGACAAAAGCCGTAGAGAAGAAAATAGTAACCTTTCATGCCAGAGATACCTAGTAGTAACATTAGTTCTATCTTTCCCCTACCCGGTGTCTGTCTGTCTGTCTGTCTGTCTGTCTCTTTCTCTCTCTCTCTCTCTGTGTGTGTGTGTGTGTGAAAGAGAGAGAGAGACCATGTTATTGTTGTAGGTGCCATTGGGTTGAGTACGACTCATAGACACCCTGTGAACAACAGACCTGGATCCTGTCCTACCTTGTGCCATCCTCACCATCTCTGACACACTTAAGCCCATTGTTGCAGTCATTGTATCTGTCCATCCTGCTGGAGGTCTTCCTCTCTTTTGCTGACCCTTCCTCTTTCCAGGCATGGTGTTTGAAGGAATTGGTTATATAAAATATGTTTTCTGTTATAGTTTTGTCATTTTAATTGCAAAGATAATCAATCACATGGGTTATAAAACATGCACATAGCATTGAGGAGTAGAAAGTAAGAATGAATGGGAAATGCCCCCACCCGTGTCACTTAGGAGCTCTCTTCCCATTGACCCTACGATGCATTTTTAACTCCATCACTTTTTGGTTTTTCAATCCAGGCACCTTAGGGGCCTTTTATGCAATGGTGTGTTATCAACATGCCATTAGCTAGAGGAGAACCTGTGTTTTCAGACCACTCCCTTTCTTAGTGCCCATCTTTCTCTAATTTGACCTCAGTTTCATTCCCACCTGAAGAATGAATAAGTTAAATGCATAAGTTGAGGCGTTTTTAACTGCACCCCCCGTTTGTTTGGGTTTTGTTTTTTTTTTAATTTAGGTTGTTTATTTTTCATTTCAATGAACATCTACAGAGATTTTGGGATTCGATTTTTTAAAGGAAAGTGAACACTCCAATTTTTTGAGTCCACTTCCGAGCATGACAAACTGAGTTTCTTCTGCAGTTCTTTTGTGCTTGACAGCCCTGCATGTTCTAGGCCTCATCTGGTCATCTTTAAAAGTTGACACTTGTTTTGAGAGTAGTGCTGCTCTCCATGCCCCCAGCACCTCACATCCAGCCCCACCCTCACGGCCACTCCCACCTGTTAGCCACACTCAGGGTCTCCTGTCGTGGGACTATGCCTTCATACACAGCTCATTCCCATTCTGAAACTTCTGAATAGAAGATGCTTATGAACTGGGGACAGCTGTCACTATAACATTTAACTCCTTGAAGACTAAACATGATAGGTGTATGATTAAGAAACTTGTAATATCCGAGATGCCCCATCTGAGACGTGTTTCTGCTCATTGATCTGGGCTGCTGTCCCCTGTATATCTAAGACGCCTGATCACCCACAGTGCTGATCCACCTGTGCTTAGAGAGTGTGTCCATGGGTGGTTTATTGTCTTCTTATCACTGACATCTCTCCCCTTGCTTTCCAGACAGCCGCCTGAAGCTCAGCCAAGCCCAGGGGAACCTGTCAGTGCTGGAGACCCAGCAGGTGCAGCTGGAGTGCACGGTCCTGAACCGCACCAGCCCGGCCTCCCAGCTCCTAGTGGAGTGGTTTGTTTGGAAGCCCAACCACCCAGAGCGGGAGACCGTGGCCCGCCTCAGCCGGGAAGCCACCTTCCACTATGGAGAGCAGGCCGCCAAGAACAACCTGAAGGGGCGGTTGCACTTGGAAAGCCCGTCCCCCGGCGTGTACCGGCTCTTCATCCAGAACGTGGCTGTGCAGGACAGCGGCACCTACAGCTGCCGCGTGGAGGAGTGGCTGCTCAGCCCCAGCGGCGTGTGGTACAAGCGTGCGGAGGACACTTCTGGACAGACAGCAGTCACAGTAATGCGGCCAGGTGAGTAGGATTGTCCCCAGGTCTCCACCCACTGCAATGTTTTCCCTTTAAGTGTAATACTTCAGCTCTGGATAAAGCAATTACTTACTAAGTTAATTAATAGGCCCTGAGTACAGAAGGAGTCATAGTGGTGCAGTGGTTAATTGCTTCGCTGCTAACTGAAAAATCAACACAGGAACCCTCTGGGTCAGTTCTCTTCTGCCCTGTAGGGTCACCATGAGTGGACCTTTGAGCTGCTGCAAAATGGTTCATTAGTTGCCTCTGGAGACAAGCCTGGCAGACACATCTCTTGCTCAGAATTTGGACCCATGCAGGACACCAGCAGAGGTACCTTGCCTCGTGGTGGAGACTGGCACACATTCAGAACAGGATGGGCAGGTGCCATTTGAGTGAGCACCACTGCCTGCTTACTTACTCCTGGGGGCAGAGCCACATTTGCAAGAGATCTGGTTTCTGTTCACCATGACTAGACTGTTTCAAACAGATTTGAGACCCTGGCTATAAATCAGAATTGACTAGGCAGCAAGGGTTTTTAATGAGTTGGGTGGAAAAAACAGTCACTGCCAAGTTAATGCATTTGTCCACTAACCACAAAGTCGGAGGTTCAAGTCTACCCAGAGGTGTCATTGAAGAAAGCTCTGGAGATACAGACAAATCAGCCACCGAGAAATAGACACACGATGGGGTCCCTGTGAGTCAGCACCAATTCAGCAGCAGCTGATGGTGGGATGTATTAATAAATCATTTACAGTTAATTATGTGAGCAGTTACATTATGCATTTGTATTCAGAATATTCTCTCTCTCTTTCTTCTCCTGTTAATGGGAAAGTGTGCATCTGGCTTTGGCTCACAGTGATCCTGTTCCTCAACTAGAATGAAATTTGACAGTGAATTATTCTAGGGAAAAGAAACACAGTATTTCCCTAAAGTCGGTTCCAATTCTTAGTGCCACTGCATGACAGAGTGAGCTGTCCCATAGGAGTGCCAAGAGGGAGCTCTGGTTTTCTTGTAGGTAAGGAGTTGTGCTGCCAGCCCAGAGATATGTGGTTCAAATTCACTAGCTACTCTATGTGAGAAAGATGGGCATTTTTAATCTTTACAGAAGCAGGTTACCTGCCTCATTGTTCTCCCATGGACCAACTGCTGGGTTTGAACCATCTACCTTGTAGTTAGCTGTTGAATACTTAACTACTTATACCCCTTGGGCTCCTTAATTATTCCAAAACATAGACTATTTTACTTTAGCAATATTGATTTGGACATTTGCTTATACATAGACCTTGTAACAAGGATCATGTGGTTAAAAAAACTTAATCTATTAATGATGAGTTTTCAGTGGAAAAAATCGATTTGCATGTTTTAAATAAGGGAGAGGGGGGATAAGTTATGTGTAACTGTCACACTCTCACCTCCTAATTATTTTTATTGGTACTAATGAGTGTTCTGTGTGGCCTTTCACTTCTCTTGTCTTTATTGCTGTTTCTGAGATGCTTAAATGCCTCTCAGAAGCTTAAATGCCTGTAATTGTCACATCTAATAGTTGTTACATGTGCAAACATGTAATTAGAAGCCAAGGTGTGCTGTAACTCTGGCCTTTGACAGCATCCTTTATCTATAATTGAACTCAATGTCAGTGGTCTTTGTGAGGATGCTGAGGATGAACAAGTTTGACTTGTGTCTTTTTGAACTTCCCCCCCAAGCACCCTGATCTTCAGGTTTACTGTCCTCAGCCCCGTTAGAACTTTACATAACATTTCACGCTTGAATAGAACAGCTGCTTTTGTTGTTGGACCACTGGCACTTTGCACCACGTCATAGAACATGCTTGAGTGCGAGGAATACACCCTTTGTTACAGGAAAGGGACACTGTCACACTCACTGAGTCTAACCTAAGCTGCTTGGGAAACCACCTCCAGTGATTTGAGTTACTCATATTTCCCATGAGCTGAACAAAGACCTCAGCCAACAGACCATAATGTTTTTGCATCTGGCTTTTGTTTTCTTTCTACTTTGCCTTCTTTCGATGCTGCTGCTTTCCCCCCTCTGAGGTAAAATTATAGTGATAATGGCCGCTGAGCCTCGCCCTACTCATGTTGCAAATCACCAGTCTGCAGACTCTAAGGTCCCTGGTGGAGTGGGAGGACACGGATGGTAAACATGCCCGATAGACCCTATCCCGTTAGGAGTTTGCCTTGCAGTCCTCAGACTCTGAGTGGTAGATGCTGCTGGCTCCTTTTACTACTGTAGCCAGAAGACTCCTGCCACATAAAAGCGGACAGGTGCTGTTAGCCGGTTTCTGTCCCACCATGCTCTGTGTTCCCGACATGGCCCATAATCCTTCCATGGCCTGTGGGACATAAATCACCTACCACCATTCTTAGCCTCTCAGGTGTCTTAGGAAGCTACTTTCCCAGCTATAGTACATTCTCCTGCCTGGTGGGGATCTGTGTAACCCTGTGAATCTGAAGAAATGGCTTCCCCTCACCAATCCTACCATCAGAGTCTACACAGGACATGTGTGTCCCACGTGATTATACCAAAATCTATATTACCTTAAAAGGATATTTTAAATCTTATTTCAGTGTGCTTTATGTAACTGAAAATACCTGATTCTTAGCATAACTAGCATAAAAAAAAATACAAAGCAGAGACAATTCAGTAGTGAAAAAATAAAACCGATATTCTGACTCTGTCTCCTTGTGTAGCCAGGTGAGCTGACCCAGACCAGGTTCAGTTTCCTTTCTCCTTGATGCCCTTTTTAATTTCCTAATTATATAGGTTGATTATGCAGATTACAAAATATTCAGAACACACAAAAGGACATCATCTCTAGTAACACCAAATGTAAGCATCCACTGCTACTAATTTATTCTCTATTCTTTGGTTTTTGCCTTGTATATTCATTCTGAGTGTCTCTTTGTAAATGAAATGAAGTACTTTCTCTTTTTTTGAAAATATTTTTATTGGTTTCCGTGTAATTCTTTTGTATTATATTTCATTCATATGTATTGTGTTTTATACAAGCTTTCATTTGTATTGTGTTTCATACAATCATTCATAAATGTTCTATTTTTACATTGTTTTTAATTGGTTTGCTTTTTTCCCCAACTATGCTGGATTTGGTTTATTTGTATACTTTTTTTAATTTAAATGGGTTTTTTATTAATGATTTTTTAAATGCAACATATATTTTCGCAGCAGATTCTTTCCATTTAATTTTTCCCCATTCATTCATTGTTGCACATTTTCCAACCTGACCACTCCTCCCACAGTTTGTTTTTGAAGAAAAAAAGATTTCTTTCATTGTTATACAATACCTTACCTGGAGTCCACAGTCACTTTAATATGCATCTTTTTCTGTAATCTTGTCATGAAAATAATACCTAATCCTATATTCCTTCTAAACAGTTCTCTCCCTCATCTGTTTCAATGCAATATACATTATTTATCCCCTTTTCTTAGGTTCCCGCAAACCCTGATGTCAGTTCCGTTTAAAACAGTGGCACTATGCAGTATTTGTCCTTTTGTGACAGAAGTCACCCATTTTGTATAATATTTCATGAGTTCTTTGTTTTTCAGTGCAGCGTAGTATTCTATTGTGTAAATATACCACAGCTTCTCTATCCATTCATTTGTTGATGGGCACTTGGGTTGTTTCCAACTCTTTGCTATTGTGAACAAAACCACAATAAACATGGGTATGCCTATATCTGTTTGGGTGGCAGTTCTGTTTTCTTTATGGCATATCCCCAGTATTGGAATTGCTGGGTCAAATGGTAATACTATTTCCAGTTTTTTGAGAAAGCACCATTCTGCCTTCCATAGTGATTGCACCATTTTACGTTCCCACCAAAAATGAATAAGGGTTCCAGTTTCTCCACAACCTCTCCAGCGTTTGCTGTTTGCTTCTCTGTTGAATTTTGCTGTTCTTACTGGGGTAAGATGATATCTCATAGTTGTTTTCATTTGTATCTCTCTTAGAGCTAAAGATTTTGAACATTTCTTCATGTGTTTATTGGCCATCTGAATGTCTTCTTTGGTGAAGTGTCTGTTCATACCCTGTGCCCATTTTTCAGTTGGATTGTTTGCCCTTATCTTGTTGTGGTGCTTGAATATTCTTCTATCAATTCTAGATATAAATCCCTTATCAGACATGTCATTTACCAAATATGTTTTTCCCAGTCTGTGGCTTCCCTTTTTACTCTCTTGGAAGGGTTTTTGGATGTGCAAAGGGATTTTATTCTTGGAAGGTCTCATCCATCTATTTTATCCACTCCTGATTATAGGTTTTTCAGAATGCTTGGAAGACTGTTTATGTTGTAGATTAGGGCTTCTAGAGTTCTTCCAAGCTTTTCTCTAATGAAGTTTATAGTCCTTGATTTTAGTCCTAGGTCCTTGATCCACTTTGAGTTGGTTTTTGTGTATGGAGTGAGGTGTGGATCTTCCTTGAGTTTTTTACAGATAGTTTTCCAATTTTGCCAAAATCATTTGTTAAAAAGGCTGTCATTTACTCACTTAACTGATTCAGCTCCTTGTCAAAAATCAGGTGGCCAAAGGTTGATGGGCTGATAACTGAATTCTCAATTCTATTCCATTGATTTATGTGTCTGTCATTGTACCAGTACCATGCTGTCTTGACCACCATGGCAGTGTAGTAGGATTTTGAACCAGGGGGTGAGATGCCTCCTACCTTTGTTTCTCTTTTTAAGGAGTCCTTTGCTTATCTGGGGCCTCTTTCCATTCCAAATGAAACTGAAGATTGCCTTGCCCATCTTGTCGAAGAATGAAACTGGTATTTGAATTTAGATTGCATTGAATATTTGCCTTTGGTAAATTGCCTTTGGTAGTATTGTCGTTTTTCACAATATTGAGTCTTCCTATCCATGAGCAAGGGACATTTTTCCACTTCTCAAGGTCTCTTTATGTTTTTTGTAGAAATGTTTTGTAATTTTCATTGAACAGATGCTTTGTACTTCTAGTTAGTTTTACTCTCAAATATT